GTGGGGGGGGGGGGGGGGGGGGGGGGGGGGGGGAGGGGGCTGTTCCCATTCCCATTCACTTTCCCTCATCTCGCCCGATGAAAAAAAAAAGTATGGAAGTGTGGAAGAACAAATGAGAGAGACTCGTTTATCCTGGATGAAGACCGGGTACTTGTGGAACGGCAGGAGGGGCAAGGACTATGGTAACCCCACGTACGTGAATGTTTATGCGATCCTCGAGGATTCCATGAAGGAAAATCGCGCGACGAGTTAGAGACGGAAGAGCCTCCACCTTCCTTGCCGATGTGACCGTATCTCGTCGGTCTGCTTTCCCTTTCCGCTTCGTCCTCGCCCGTCCACGCGAGTCTCACGGTCCGTGCTCTCACGCTCGTTACGTCGAGCGAACCACCTGTGAGCATCGGTCGTCGACGGGAGCGAGATGCACCGCTTTTCAGATCCCCATCGACGCGAGGCAAATTTTCTCACCGTCCCGTTCCTCGTGGTCGTACTCGCCCCATCGGCGTAAAATAAAGCTCACGCACTCGTCCGCCTTTTCTCACGAACGCACCATCGATCACCGTTCGAAGTCCGGAGTAACTCGGAGGAGTCCGTGCCTAAGTAGTCACCGAGAACGAGAGAAAAAAATGTTTCCATCCTGCTCCGAGATTTCTCCTGCGGCGCAAAACCGACACGCTGCGACTGATTGTTGTCGGGTTCGACTCATCGCGTCGGTCACACCCCGTAGCGCTATCACTACGCGATGTGAAGGCGGATCGTCGGCTGATGGCCGACCTGGCCGAAGTCAACCATTCCAAGGAATCTCCAAAAAAAAATTATTTTTGTCGGCATCCAGTGGGGAAGAGTGGAAAATCTTTCGACCGTCTTAAAGCGGGGAAGGTGGTACACGTCGATTGAGGGCTGGAGACCGGAGAGACCGGGTTTTTCTCGAAAGAATCCCAGTCATTACTACCTTAAAATGAAAGGAATGCTGTTTACGTGCACGAGATCGACGAGGAGTTTCTCGGACGTTTCTGCAGATAGACCGCTTTTCCTTTCTGCCCTTCGATTCCAACTTCTCACCGAGTTACGTCTCGATCGCATCTGCCTGGAATGACGAGAAATAAAAACGTAGGACTTCTTCACTCGGATCGTGCCTCGTTCTCTGCCTTCCTTTCGGACTCGTCCCGAGCGACGACGATGCGAAACGCGATTCGGAACTTCGCGAAACTTCCCACTCCTGCCTTTGCTTCCACGCGATGACGTCGACGCCGTCGTCGGAACAGCAAACGTTTGGTTCCGCGCGGATGGAATCCGTCCGAAACGATGTCACGAGTTTCCATGACTTTCGGTGACCTCTTTCTCCGTTCGAAAGAGGTCACCCTCATCGCATTCGCGGGGTCGAGAAGGGCTGTCTAACGACCTCGTACCAAGAAGACTGGGCAGCGATGACTGGGAAACCTGCCCTGGTGGTTGACCCCAGAACTACGCAGAACTGACCAATGGGATCATTGGATTGGAATGTCGCACGAAATATGGCTGCTTCTGGATCCAAGTACTGCGCCTACGCACCATGCCGGGAGAAATTTGGCCGAATGGTTGGAGGTGTTCCGTCGCACCGGTTTTCCAAGGATCCGGAAAGGCACGCGCACGTGTTCACCTAGGGCTTTGCACTAGGCCTATGGTCATGGCTTTACATATATGTAACAAGCATATGAAGTAAAATGCCGAGCAACCTCAATGACCCAAACGGAAAGGTCAACATTTTCGAGTCTCGGATTGACAGGCCCGTTGGAATGGGATGACTTCAATTTTGAAGGGACCAAAACCGGCTGAGGATAATTATCTTGCATCTCTGCTTTGGATTTACAGCCTCATGTTCTTGGGGTCCAGTTGGGTCACAGCTGACTTCATTGCCTGTTTTATGGTAGCTCATTAGTTTTGTGGTCATCAGCCTGTCAAAATGTCGGAAAGGGGCTCCAGGCTATCGGTGGCAGACCTAGGTGTTCCTGGCACCCGTCAGGCGTCTTATCAAGATTTCTAAAATCATACATATGTGATGCCCCCACCCTCCCCTCAGGAGCGTGGCGCCAGTGTCTGGCGGAGGGGTCAAAAGGAAATCGCCCTCAATCACGACTCCTTTGAGGATTAAGTGTGGCAAAGTTGGACCGGATAGACTATACTCGCACACATTGTTGCTGGCAGCTAAGCCAAAATGTTCTCGGCAATAGATGATATTGCCATTGTGATTTAGCGATCTCCAGTTCATGAAAATAATG